TGGTTTTCGGTCCTTTGTATTAAACTATACATACATGCATGGTGCTGGTTTTTTTTCTAATTAAGCAACTTGATCAATTATATATAGTTTATAAACATTATTTTAAACATTATGCACTTTTTTTCAAAGATAGTCGTGCTATTTTATTACGCTTTGAAGAAACGTGCATAATATTTTGCTGGATGCACCCTCTTGTGGCCTCAGGAGAGAAGCCAAAACCAGAAGCCAGAAGCCAGAAGCTTTTTTCCCCCTAACTGAAATTATGCCTTTTAAATTCGAATATAATTGCTTATTTGCTTATAATTGCTATTGCTTATAGCACGGCACTATTGGATGCGTTCCCCATCAGCGTTTAACGCAACTTGTCAAAATTACTGAAAAACTAAATTCGAATTTTCTACTTAAATACTATCAAATTCTAATTTAGTTTTTCAGTCATTTTGACAGCCCTAGTTGCATTAAACGCTGATGGAGAACGCATCCAATAGTGCCGTGCTATAAGCAAGTGCAGAATGTAGCCGCTCTGCGAGCCCTGCCCATACTGAGGGCTTACATCCCACATGTAAGCATGAGCTAATATGAGCCCCAAGCCACTAAGCTGGGGACTACATAACAGGATCTTCTCCACTCTTAGAGGGAATTAGGTAATTTAGGTGGTCAAAATCCGTGCCTGGAGGGCAGGTACGTCCAAATGATAAAATCTGGTGAAGGTGGATGGCGAGGACCAGCTATCATCAATTGAAATCCCACTGGACCAAGCCCAGGAGGAGGCCATTCCCCTAGTGGAATGGGCCCGTATTCCTATAGGACACTGTAAGCCCAATGAGGCATAAGCCAGGGTAATAGTGTCCACTATCCAGTCTCTGCTTTGCAACTGGCAGCCCTTTAGAGCGGCCTCCGAAGCATACAAAGAGCTGCTCTCTAAGAGCCTGGACCAGGCAGAGTGTATGAGGACCCTTCTCATCCTCTGAATTGGGAAAAGCCAGAATGGTAATGACTTTTGCTCTAAACGGAGTGGAGAGCACTTTAGGCACATAGCTGTGTCTTGGCTTGAGGACGACCCTATAGTCGTTAGGCCCAAACTCAAGACATGAAGTACTTACTGACAGTGCATGCAGGTCACCCACTCACTTGACCGACGAGGAGGGCAGTCTTAAGCAACAGGGGCTGCAAATCGGCCAACTGGAGCAGTTCAAAGGGAGGGCCCCGTAGGACTATGGATAAGTCCCAGGTCGGCACAGTATGAGGACGAGGCGGGTTTAATCTCCAAGCTCCCCTCGGAAACTAAACACGGAAGGTTAAAACGGATGACACATTACATGTCACAAGCTTGCGAGAGAAGGTCTGTCCTCAGTGGTATGGACCAATGGGCAGCTGAATCAACCCCGAGAACCACATCTGATTCCACCAAGAGGACCGAGCATCTGACTTTCCTGGACCATCTGATGACCTGAGGAGGAAGCAGGGCAATCGGGGGGGGGAGGCATACAAGCGAGTGCTGGGCCAGTCATGGGCCAGAGCATCTTGCTGTCTCAAGAAGTAAACTGGGCAGTGAAAGTTGTCTTCTGAGGCAAAGAGGTCCTTCATACAGACAAATATGGTGTATCACAGTCAATGTTTACACGTCTTACTACTAGTTTTGAAAACCTGTTTTAAAGTCCCAGCAACTTTATAGCTGTGAAACATAAAATATTTAACAATTATAACACCGATCCATTATATTGATACATATTATTTGTAGTGGTGTCAAAATTAGCGCGTTAATGCAGCCGATTAATTTTTTCAGTTTAACGCGTTCAAAATATTTAACGCAATTAACGCAGGGGCTGGGCTAGGGTTGGCCACCCCACTCACAACTGCTGCTTCTGTCACTTTTTCTCTTGACAAGAAGTGCATTTATTCAGTCGCAGAACGACTGAGAACGGGAGACGTTTCAGACGCACGCTCCACTCCACTTCAGCGCCAGGCGCGAGTCAAGCGAGCGCGGAAACGGTACTGTGCTCGAAGCGCGTGCTCTTCAATTGCACGCACAAAGGCGCCGGCACGCACTGTCGCCTGTATCCTTTCATATCAAAGCACAAAATAAACTACGTGCATGCAATGCCGTGGTCAGTTAAGTCATGAAGTTACCAAAATTTTTTATAGAGAAATCAGTATTGGTATCATTGATACTGGCCTTCAGTCATAAAAAAAGATGCCATTAAACAAATATAAAAAAATATACTGTATTTATGTTTGTACATTAATTTGAAGATTGAATGTGAAATTATTGCAATATAAAAGTATATTTAAAAACTCTAATGTTAGGTGGGATTAATCGCAATTAATCGCAATTAATTTCAGAAAAATGTGCGATTAATTAGTTAATTTGAGAGTGAATAGTAAATAGAGTCATTTTATATCAGAATAGATTCACACATGCACTTTTAGTCTAGATTCTAATGGAGTTTTTTGTGATTTGCGACAGTGTAGTCACACTTTACGCTAAGGATATTATACTGACTCTCAGCCTCTGACGTTCCTATTTTGAGATTGGCAGGTTTAAAGTGTCATAGCTGAGACTATTTTTCTGCTTTTCTTTGTTGGCTACACATGGAACGGGGCCAAATTGGGCACTGGGTCTGGCACCAGCAGCATTGCTAGCATGTCTGTGTAAAGTGGTATTTGTGATTGAGAGAGTTCAGCGACCCACAAGTTCTTGCTCTATTAAGCCCTGTCAGGACACCGTAAATAAATGGGACCCACTTCACCTTGTTCTAGTTGACCCCAAAAGTGTCACGCTTTGTCTGCGAGGCGCGGGTCGACACGGGTGATGCCTTGCTGTAATACAGTCTGTGCAGTGAGACGTTTGATAAAAGGTGCCCTCTTAATCTGTCTGTACTTATCAGCGGCAACAGTTTCGAACTCAAGGTACGACGATGGACAAAGCAGCAGAGGGCCACGGGTCACTTTGATCGGCCATGCTGCCACATTTGAGCCCATTGTTCTCCGCTCATCTCTCCCAGCCGTTCAGACCTCACATACACAATCCTAAATCAACCTGATTACTATGATAAAGTCTTACCCTGCTTTCTTTTCATTTAATTTTAATTTCAAAGGAGTGTTAGTCCAGATCCAGCTCTAAATTATGATTATTATCACTCAGGGAGGCAGGCTGATTCATTTACAAGAGGGAGGCCTGCCACGGACCCAGAAACACATGAGCTGATATGAGGAAGCGCAGATCAAAGCGGCGAGTGGAGAACAGGGGGAAGGGAGCGAGAGAAAGAGAATGGGAGTGCAGAAAACAAACATGCAGATGCTGTTCATGGAGAAGATGGAACATGAATTAGGCTACACTTTTTTTTTCATTTATGGCTCGAATTCGCCAAGCAGCTGAACTTGCATTACGGGGAATTGTGTGGCTAGAATAGACTGATTTTTTTTTGTCAGCTCACTTGCGCTTTTAGATGTCATGCCAGTGCTTCTTCTAAATCATTTATCAGGCTAGTATCATTCTGCACATGTGAGCAAGAGCATTTCATGCATTTCTATATATGGTGAGCCAAGCCATATGAGAGAAATATGTGTGCCAATTTAAATCACAATTTATGATGCTTGAAATGCATATATTAGTGTTAAACACATTTTTTATATTTTATGCTACTCTCACTTTAAAGTTATGTAGTTAGTAACAAATGTATATTTTCTTAGCAAAAACAAAAATGTTGGGGAGAGAGGGAAACAAATGTATTATGTTTTTGATTCACTAAAAATAACTGATTCATAATCAGGCTACACTGGCGCGACCCATCGAATCGACTCGTAAGACTCATTTACACATCAATCGGACTACATTGGTTGTTTGCATTGTCTGTTTTTGCATGCAGCCCATGAGGTCAACTCCATATAAAGATGTTTCTTGCCATTATTTCATGACACACTACCTTTTTATTGCATCACATTCAATACAGACAACTCACAACTCACAACTATAAATTGGTGCATTATGAAAATACTGATTTTTCAAAAATAACAGCTGTGCATGATTTTAGTGAGTTAATTCAGCAAAATGGGATGGTTTGTAGAAATAGAATACCATTCAAAACTTTAACTGTAAGCATCCTTCTAGTGATTCTTGAATTTTTTTTATTTCATTTTTTCACATATTGTAGTATTTAGATATTATTCGATATCATTTGAAAGCGTTGACACTCAAAATTCATCCTGTGAAAACCACTTTGAAACTGGAGATTGTGTTATCATGGAAATGGTCATTTGAATCATTTTAGTGGGCTCCTGCCCCAGTGGGTGGAGTCAAGTGCCATATAGCAAAATTTACTACATAATTTTATAATCAAAACATGTTCTAATCTTGACAAAACACATATTGTTGGAAAGGTCTGAGTCTCAAAGTTCTATATTTAGTGACTATTTAGTGATAGGAGTAATATTGTGGCATAAACGTATAAATGTGTGACAGGAAATGAGACAAGTACATCAAATGCATTTGTGACAAGTACATTTTCTTTACACTTAAAGTTCTAAGTTTTTTACACTTTCATTTTTTGAAATGCGTTCACTACAGCACTACTTTTTTTTACATCTATGTTCAAGAATCTTTTTTATTGTTTATTAAATTCATCTTAATTGAATTTCTTTTCATCAAAGAATTCAGAAAAACTGTATCATGGTTTCCACAAAAATATTAAGCATCACAACTGTTTTCAACACTGATAATAAGACATATTTCTTGAGCAGCAAATTATCATATTAGAATGCATTCTGAAGGATGACACTGAAGACTGGAGTAATGATGCTGAAAATTCAGCTTTGCATCACATGAATACATTTCATTTTAAAATATATTCAAATAGAAAATAGTTATTATAAACTGTAGTAATATTTCACAATATTACTGTTTTTACTGCATTTCTGATCAAATAAATGCAGCCTTTATGAGCAAAAGAGACTTCCATAAATTAAATGTTGCATCTAACTTTACACCCTCTTCCTCCCAGCCTCATTCCAGCTCTGCGCCCAGCGGCTTGTGTAGGACCATGATGCTCAGCAGCTCAGTGGATGTACCCAGCCCAGGCGGGATGAGCGTGGTGGCGGCCCGGAACGTATTTCGCAGTTCCAGCATCAGTGGTGCCATGTACAGCCTGGAGAAGAGCCCCAGCAGCACGGGGCCCGACGCCACAGGCCTGGCTGGAAACAAGAAGCGTCGCTCCAGCCTGGGAGCCAAGATGGTGGCTATTGTGGGTCTGTCACAGTGGAGCAAGAGCACACTGCAGCTAAACCAGCAAGGTGGGCAACTCTGAATACTCCATCTACCCTGCTGTACTCTGTCAGATATGCTTCTTGTTTTGTTGCCCCGTTTGCTCTCGCTGTCGCAGCCTGAACAATTTCACGCCATGGTTTGTCATTTCTGGTGTGTGTAGTTTTTTTCTCACTTAATTTCTTTTCACTTTCCTTCACCTCCGCTCAACATTCTTGTCCTTATTTGACTTTCAAGGTTTCACAAAGTTACCAAGTCCTGTCAGTCTCTTTCCTCAACAGTTTTGAGGGCCATATGCAAGACAGAATTACTATTACAAGACTTACTTACTTTGGGATTTTTATAAGAAAATAAAATCGTTCATATTTTTAGAGAAATGAGATTCATTGCCAATATAAAACAATAGGCTACTTGATATGGCATTAACGCAAACAACATACAAGAGTCTCACACAAAGTTATCAGTCATTGTCTTTTTATTCAAAAGGAAACACTCCAACCATTGCAAAAAAAAAATAAAAATCATGCTTAACAATTCTCCTTCCCATTTTCAGGAAGATGCTACATTCCAGAAATCAGTAAAAATAGAGAAATATCAAAGCAGCTGAGCACACCAGAGCTTCAAAACACACAAACGGAATAACTTATCACTGCAGAGCTGCAGTTTTAACCAGTCTAATAGACACTACCTAGACAAACCTTAATCTTTACATGATCAGGAGGGCAAAAAAATGGTACTTTCTACGTTTTCGACAAATGCCTCTTTCCATCCATCATGTTCTTATACATGTTAATGTCATATGCACTGTATATTGAGGTCACTTTCTAGAATTGATAGATTTTAAATTTCTTTTACTACACTTTAAATGGTTGAAATGTGTTTGTGTAATATATATATATATATATATATATATATATAAATATTTCTAAGAGTACACTGCACCCTCCATAATAGCGTCTGTGGTCCTCAATATATCTATGTGCACATCACTTCCTATTTTTGTCTTCCCTCATGTTCTGGTCACCATGACTTCACATGCTCTGGATTAAACTGTTCTCACACAACCCGTCTCTTTTTGATCCTCTGACAGCAAATGCAAAAACCTTTAGAAAAATGCATCATATAAGTTTATGACACATGGTTTTATTTTTTATTTTTTGTATATTTTATAAAATATTTTTTGTATTTTATGTATATATAGATGCCAAAAAATGTTAAGTTTCTCTCTTTGTTTTACTTTCTGCCACATTGTGTGTTGCGCGTTTCAACCCACTGATTAACACACAATATTACTGCCCACTTCCTCATTAGTAATATTAGTTATAAACCATAGTGGCGCTTCATTGTGTTCCACAGTGATTTAATGAAAATATTTACTGATAGTATTAGGAAAAAGTAGTTTTTGAAAAAATATGTTTAGATAAATACAAAGTTTTCTCATGAAACTCTAGATAGCGCAGGCTGACAGGTTCTAACTCAATCTGATATAATCACATCATCATTCACATGGCGCAGCTGATTGGTTTCTTTTCGCATCAGCAGCCAGTGAGCTTGCTGCTCAACATACAAATACTTGGCTAGTGCTTGCTGTAGCAGTTGCAGCGCACTTCACAAACCCTCCACCTTCCCCAGCTCCACCTGTATAGATCTGCTACGGGGTGATTTCGTATATGTTGCATATGCAGCAGTAGTATTTCCTACATGCTGACAGCAGCTTGTCTGTGGATGTATTGACAGTAGCAAGTCTCGGTTCTTGTTCTGCACAGCAGCAGCAGCAGCAGCCTTGCAGATCTATTGTACCAAGACCAAACACATTAACATTGCCATGCATATCACCATGCTAAACTCTCCATTTCCATTATCTACACGCACATTTTGGGGATCTTGTCTTTTTTAAACCCTAAGTATACAATCTAAGCATGTAACTGTAGAAGAGTTGTGGATTGCTTTTATAATTAATCAGATTTATGATTTTCACCTAGTGGATGATAAAATAGTTCTAGCGAGTCTTTGACTTGAGTCATTAAGCAGTAAGGGTTCCACAATTTGGGGAAAAAATCTAATTGTGATTGTTATTTGCAATTTAAAATGAGCCAGTTTTGCTGTACTTGTTTGTTGGGCTGGAAAATTTGACAATTTGTTTATATGTCAATATGGCTATAAAATAATAAATAAAAATACAAAATAAAAATGTGAAAATTACTAATAAAAACAAAAGTATAAATATTACTATTATAATATTTCACTGTAAAATAAAACAACAAGTATTTAAGAAATTGTAGGGCTGCACAAATAATAATTTATTATTATCATCATTATTATTATTGTTGTTGTTGTTGTTGTTGTTATTGCATAAAAATATAAAAATTACTACATAAAAACTAAATAAAAAAATAAGAAATATTACGAATTGTAATATTTCACTGTAAAATAAATAATTTTAAGTATTTCAGAAAAATTACATAATAATAATTTTTTTATTTTACATTACAACTGTATACTTATGGCTCTTTTCATTTCTTAATTTTCAAATGCTAGATCATCAAACTTTTATTTTGACATAAAAACCACAGAACCACTCTTTCTTTAATTAAATTGCAGACTTTGTGATTTGATAATCACATTAAGCCATATTGCGGTTTCAGTTTTATTCCAATTCAGCCCTATTCATGCAGCCCTAGCAACACCATAGCAACCATCCAGAGCACCCTAGCGACTGCATGGCAGTGTGTTAAGAATCACTGAGAACTTTAGCTCTGCTCTGATAGCCTCTAAAACACTTCGGCAAGATCAAGCACCATTCACATTTTCTTCAGAAAGTGTAGGTATTTAGTCACCAATTTGTGTTTTAATATGTGCTGATATACAGGGATGTCCTTTCATTAGCTTTTCTTCATCTGGTCTCTGTACGTGTTTATGTGTGGCCGTAGGATATTAAGGCTGCGTGTTAGTCAGCAGAGCATGTGACGATTGCTCCCTGCTCTTAGAAAAGCTCTGAACAGGCTAACCTTCCCATCACCCTGCATGACTCATGGATGACTGCATGTGTGGCTGAGTAACACAGCATAACCTTGGCTTCTCCCAGGAATAAACCTGCATCTCGAATCTGTTTGTTTAGTCAGTGAAAAAGAAGACCTAGACCCAACCTAGATTAGAGTCTGAGGACGTTTCTGTTGTCAGCAGCCCACTGCTCTGCCTTTCTTTTTATACCCTCTTATTTTTGCTCTCCCCCGGCGTAATTGTGCTCCTGTGGGGTAATTACAGACTCTGTGACCAGGGGGAATTGTCATGTAACACTCTCGCTCTCTATAAGGATCAACAGCAGCCCACAAGCGTTAACACAGTCCAGCAAGCCAGCGCTGCAGTGTGTTCTTGTGAGCCGTCCTGGCGAATGCAGACGAACCTGTCAGGCAAATCCAGCTGCCAGTTTATAATGACTCGTGTTATGAACACATGGGGCTAAATCTATATTTTTGCTGTTGACCGTCTCAGTTCAGGATTTAAGAACTTGCTCCTTTTTGATTCACGAGGGTGAATTTGAATTGAATTAGACGTGAACCACAAGAATTGTGGTGAATCTCCATTGAATGGGAATTCAAATTACAATGACAACACAGTCATGCAACAGAGAGATTTTATTAGTCAGAAGTTTTGTGACAAAACATGAATAATTACATCATACATTTTTATTTATTGAATTATTCCTGATTGTTCCCTTGAATGAATAATATGTTTTTCTCAACTGATTAGATGTATTTTTTCTAAACTATGAAAACACTTCGTTTGACAAACATTAGAGCATTCTGGCCAATGTTGTCATCTACTATGGGCCTATTTTTCTTATATTGTTATTAATAGCTTGTTAATATACATTATATTTATTAGGCATTATAATAATATAATGGTCACACTTTAGTTTGGAGACCAATTCTCACTATTATCTAACTATTAACTATAATTGTGCCTCAATAAAAAATAAAAAAAATGAAGAACTGAGGAATGAACTGAGACTAGGCAAAGTATTTACTGTTTTAAATAAATGGTTAAATTACACAGTAAGGTGAAACTAGAATCTAGACAAATGCACCTCAAAGTCACTGAAATGGGAAAAGCATCACTGAGGTACTGTCAGCAGTTACTGTTGATATTACAATGACCTGAATCAACACATACAGTAAATAAAATGACCTTGGAGCAAATGTAGGTTTTCTAACTAATATTCTACATACAATTTGGGAATGACACACTGTTTAATCCAAAATATTTTGCAAGATTTATTTAAAAATTTGACAAAAGAAAAAAAAAATGCTGCTTTAAACAGATAGTTCACCAAGATCTGTCATCATTTACCCACCCTCATGACTTTCCAAACCTGTATGACTTCTGTGGTATATAAAGGAAGATATTCTGAGAAATCTCTTTTTTGTCCATATAATGGAAGTCAATGGGGACCAGCAAATGTTTGGTTTCCAACATTCTTCAAAATATCGGGGTTTTTTTTATGTTCCACATAAGAAAGCCAGTCATACATGTTTAGAATGACACGAGGCTGTGTAAATGATATCATAATTTTCATTTTTGGGTGAACTATCTCTTGAAGTAGCATGTGTCACTATGGACAGTTGCTTAACTAGGATTGGACAGTGGGGCTTTGCAAAGAGTCAATTCTCGTTCTATCTTTCTCTTTCTTTCTCTCTCTCTCAGTAGCTTATGTCGGTGTGTATGTGCGCTCTATAAAGGATGACCTTTCCAGTGTACTGTCGTCTCCCAGCAGGGCTGATGAGTCTCAAGGGCTGGATGTGTTGTAAGTTTGAGGCTCCAGGGTTCACCTGTCTGGGGCATCAGGGTCAGCGCCTCAGCACCCATCTGCCCTTATCCTGGATAACTGCTTTAATTTGCTCTGTCACATTTCCACTTCCACACACCATGAATTCCAGCCAAGCAATTTAATCCGATACTGTGGTGTGGGTCTTATTCAGCTCCGAGTCAGTGATGCAATAAATGTGAGTTCATAAGCTCAGGGAGCCGA